TCAAACTTTAGTGTGTAACAGAATCACATGGAGGGTCTGTTAAAACAGTGCTTTTTGGTCTCCATCCGCTACGTTTCTGATTCAGTGGGTCTAGTGTTGGTCCTGAGAATTTGCGTTTCTGACAAGTTCCCAGGTGATGATGCTGCTTGTTTGAGAACTATTCTTTGATAATCACTGTTCAAAGGATTAAAATACACAGACTTAATTTTCACAATCTTTCTTTTAGACTTGATGTTGTACCACTTCACATAAAATGTGGAAATTGTTTAATTGTGTCAGTCCATTTACTCTCTCTAACCAGGTTTATGCTAGATTTCTGATATATATATTACATGTACATACATTTTAGAATTTACAGTACAATTTAGTTGTAATACAATTACAATACAATACAATTTTTGCTTTAACTGAGTATATGTATTTTAAAGAAATTAAGAGGAAAAAATAGTCTGTTGTATTTACCCACGTATTTACCTTTAACTATGCTTGTCATTTCTTCCTGAAGATCTTAATTCCATCTTGTTTCATTTCCCTTCAGCTTAAATAACTTCCTTTAACGTTTCTTGAAGTATGGGTTTGCTGACAACAAATTCCTTTAGTTTTCTTTTATTTCAAAATGTCTTTATTTTACTGTCATTCCTGAAGGATTTTGTGCTGGACAGAGAATTTCAAGTTGACTGTTTTTATTTTTCTTTTAGTACATTAAAAATGTTCAGCTGTCCATTGGCGTCCATTTTTCTTATGAAAAGTCAGTAGTCATTGAAATTGTTATTTCCTATGTACAATGTGTCATCTTTCTCTGGTTGCTTTTGAGATGGTCACTTTATTTTTGATGTTCAGCAGCTGGATTATATAAACAGCCCAGTTGTTTTCTTTAGGAAAAAAAAAAAGGAATCCTGGTGGAGATTTGTTGGCCTTTTGAATCTAAATTTATGACTTTCACCAAAATTTAGAAAAAAATTCAGCCATTATCTCTACATATTTTCTGTCTTACTTTAGACTCCAATTACATGTATGTTAGACTTTTTGGTGTTGTTTCACTCTGCTACTATTCATTGTTTTTCAAGTATTTTCTCTTCTTTCTTGAAGTTGGATAATTTCTGTTGATCTCTCTTTGGATTCACTGACTCTCTCTACTCTTATGCCTATTCTGCTAAGTCTCTACTGTGAATTTTGTAGTTCAGATGTAGTTTTTGGTTTTATTACTTCCATTTTATTCTTTTTTACAGTTTTTATTTCTTTTTTGAGATTTACTATCATTTCATTTATTTTGAGCATATTTTTCATTCATTAAGCATTTATGAAAGTAATTTTTAAATCTTTCTTTCTTAATTCTAACATCTGTGTCATCCAGGGTAAGCTTTTCATTGATTCCCTTTTGTCATGTCAGTAGGTCGTGTTTTTCTGTTTCCTCATGTATCAAATACTTTTGGATAGAATCCTGAACATTGTGAATGATATAGTGTAGAAATTCTGGAATTTGTCATCTTATTCTAACGTATATTGATAGTTTAAATGCAAGCAGGATTTAGCAGTAAACTTGCTAAATTGATCAGGTAATCTCTGTTTCTACTTTAGGAGGCGGTAACTCAAAGCTCAGTTCGTTTCTTTTAATCTTAGCTGCCCTTCTTGGAGTCTGCTGCATACATGAATGCTTCAGTTTTCCCAAGATTTGAGCAAAGCTTATACACAGAATTCAGGCTTCCTTCTTTGGCTCTTGTTTTTTATGGGAGTATCTATGTACTCACTTTCCATTGGCTGTGGTTCCAAAACTCTTATCTTTTAGTTCTTTAAGCTTTCTAATTATGTGGATTTTCAATCAGAGTTTCCTTGCAGACTGGTTTTCCCCCAGGCTAAACACCGTAAAAACAGGGAACCCACTCAGTGCTTCCAGGTAATTGTGTTTTTATGTTTTTTCTAGAGTTTGTAGTTATCTGTGAGAAGGTTGTTCCAAAAGGAGCTACTCAGCCATAGCAGAAACAGAGCTCTCTTTTTTTTTTTGCTGCTTATATTTGAAAAGGCTACTTTTATCATGAGAGGAAAATAGTCACTTATGTGTTTTTCTACTCAACTGCCTTTATTTTTTTACATTTGCTTTAAATTAATTTTGGATTAGTTTGCATATGACATGAATTAAGTATGAAATTTTTTTCTCAAATCATTAAGCCAATATTTTTTAGTAAGTCTTTTTCCTTTCTCTAACTTTAATTACCTCTTTACAGTTTGCCAGTGTTTTCAAATTGTGCTCTGAAGAACCTTAGAATTCCTTAGACTTGCATTAAGCAGAGCTATGATTATATGTTTCTTTGGTTATTCCTTTTATTAATTTTATAATTTAGCAAACTATTTATTGAACACCTGCTACATACCAGACACTATGCCAGGCACTGGAGGTACAATGACTACTAAGATGAACATGGTCCTTGCCTTACAGATAATGTCTAGTGAATTTTATGTATCAGATTTCCACAAATGCATCCCTTTTTCTTATTAAAACTTGTAGAAAGACAGTGAGATTTAGAGACCCAATAACTTTGTGATTTTAGGCAAGTTATTTATCGTCCTTAAACCTTGATATATTCATATCTTTACAGTGGGATAGTAGCCCCAGTTTGAAAGTATTTCCTTAAGGATTAAATGGATAATTTCATATGAAAGAGCTCAGCACCCAATAATTGTTAATTTACTTTTTTCCTTCCTAACTCCTGGCTATATTTTTCCTGTCGATAAAAGATGTGGAATTTTGGTTAACGGTCCCATATCCAATGTCATCTGAGTCTTTGTTACAGATTTCTAGGAGACTATCTAATTTCTCTTTCCTAACACTCTGTTGACAAAACTTTCTCAAATGTCTTTAATATCAGCAGACCATGTTGCTTAAGCCAAAGGCTTTATCTCTGGTCCCAGGGTCTTTGATCTCCTTTAGTTCTTGACTATCCCTATATTCTAAAAATTTCCTTCTGCATTTGATATTGTGAAACTACTGTAGTATTTTTATTCTTTATTCTCTTGCACATCTCCTTTTACATATCTTTCTTTATTAATTTTCATTCTTCAATCTCCAAACTTCAGATATTTTCTCAAAACTCACTCCTGTCAGCTCTTTTTTGCTTTGGCCCTTCTTTTTGTTAAACAAGCAGTCATCCATTCTCATCATTTCAGCTCTAACCTCTCTGTACCCCTCATTACATCTCTCTAGCTATTGGAGTGCAATCCCATATCACTAATTTTGTGTAAGGAGTTTGTTCATTCATTCTTTGATGATTTTTTTCAGTCATTGGATATGCTGTCTCCTCAAATGCTGATCAGTGATCTGCTCTAAAATTCTGTTTCTATGTGCAAAATAATTCAATGCCGTTTTCCTTAATTTGGTGTTTTTTTTCTTAAAGGTGCTATCGTTCTTCCAGTCAACAGAGACACAACCTTTGTTCTTTCATCTTCACACTCGGTGTCCAGTTTCGTCCTGTTACTTCTTGTTTGGAAATGTAGTAAATTCGTTACTTCTCTCTTTGTCTGCCGCCGTCCAAGTCCAGTTGGGATGCTAGCTGATTCCACAAAGCCTTTGCTCTTCTTACTATGCCTTGTTCCTTTCTTCAGACCAGCTTGCCCGTCATTATTACATTAGTCATCTTCCTAAAACATTACTTTTGTCCTGTACTCTCCTGTTCAACGTTTTCAGTGACTCTCCATTTCTTTTGACAGTGTTTCCTTTTGGAGTAAAAATATTCTGATGGAATCCCAGTGTTGACATAAATTATTTTAATTATAATGCAACTTAAATATGTCCAAAGATAAAACTAAACATGCTCTTTTGCACATACAACTGTATAACTAAGACAATTTACGAATTCATTACAAACAAAACTATAAAATGGATAAAATTTAAGTTAACAAATTAATGTGGCAAAGGATATTTGCAAAACTAAATTACCAAGCTCAACATGAATGTTGTACAGACTGCTCTGAGTTCAGCATGGGCCTGCTCTATTCTTCAAACTTCTGAGAAGCCTTTGTCTCTATAGTATACTATGATATCATTTGGCCTTCACTTGGTACAAATGTATCATTTGAGAAATAGGTCTGTCCTCCTCTTCTTTTTCCATCCCTCAGCCTGCTGGAATTAAAATAGTACTACTTGACTGCAGTAAGAGAGTAAATAAAAATGCATATTCAGGCACTGATACTACTTGGTGACTTGGGGTTACAAAGTAAGCATCCAGATGATCTAGAATATTGGGGTGGGGGGGAGACAGAGAATTTTAGTTCACTTGAAAAAAAGAAACTTAGAAGATTTTGTGCCAAACTAACGGAATCTCAAAATCAGACTCAGACACCCAGAGTCTACAGACCCCACTATAAAAGTCACTGATCTGTGGGAAAAAGACCTAATTCCTCATGTTGACACCCAAGGCCATCATCAATTCGGATTAAATCTCTTTTCTTTTTCAGCTTTTGTGGTTTTTTTTTTTAACACTAAGTCAATGTGTACATGCTCACATTTTCCCAGATCTGTGCTTGTCTTCCTTTCTATCTCTGTCCCTATATAATCCCATCTATCTAAAACCTCTGAAGACCACCAGTTCATGCTCTCATTTTCCCTTGAAACTTCTGGCCACCTCTTCAATTTTAATCTGATCTTTCTCCTGCTTTGAACTCCTCCTTTGAACTCCTTCTGTATCTGGTACTTTGGCATTTAATTGTTTTTTGACATTGTTTTGTTTGACTTTTATGTGCTCTGTATCACTAGACTCAGGGGCCTTAAAGGAAAAATTTCCCTTAAAAGTTTTTAATCTTCAGGATTGTTGTTGATATTCCTGAAGCTCTTACTAAGTAAATACATGCAATGCTCAGTATTAGGGATTTAGTTTCCCTGCAGAAATGTGGGGTTTCTTCGTATAGAGTGTAAGCAAAGTACTTTGATGTAGAAAATTTGCATTTCTAAGAAACTAAAATGCCTTAGAAATTTTGTATTTTTGCACCCACTTGTTCTGTATTTTCAGGACTGCTGGGGAAGATCCTGATGGCTATCCGAGATGCAGGTTTTGAAATCTCAGCTATGCAGATGGTAAGTAGTTTGCGATGAGTCATAACTTATTGAGGAATTGTGTTTTTTTTGAAGTATGCTTTAAAATGTTTTACATTGAATTTTCTGTGTGCACTCTAGAACTCAACACATTCAAAATGCAAAGATATATTTACTGAGCTTGATAACCTTATAATCAAAAATGTTTTTCAAATGATTTTACCCATGTCATCTTTCACGGAGAGAACTAATATTCAAATGGTACACCTAATTTAAGCTTATAAGGTAGGTTTATACAATTCCTGGAACTTTAGCTGCAAAATAAATTCAGACCAAAATAATGTATTTAGTTCTTACAAACACAAAATAGAATTAAGGTGAGTAGTTATAATGAGTTTTCTGTTGTCTGGATTCGTGACTAACAAGAGAATGGAGGAAGCGAATCAGTTCAGATGTTGTCCCTGCCCAGGGCCCTTTGCAGCCTTCTGGACATTCCCTTAGGACCTTCTTTGGGGTTAGCATGTTTCCGTCCCTCTGTTGGCAGTCACACCACTGGGTGTCCGGAGCCTACCATCATTCGCAACTGCCCTGTGGACACGTTTCCGGGAAACATTCCTTTGAAGAAACAGTGTCCTTTTCTGCAGGGCTCATACCTTTGTGCTGTACTCACCAGTGCATTTGATGAGAATTGGGTAAAATTACAATGTTTGAAAACCAGCAACTTTATGCTGTTATGATAGGGAAAAATTGATTTTGAAGCCGAGAACTTTCTTACCAGTGAAATTTATGTGCTCTTTTTTCTGAAAAGGAACTGCTTTTGATTTTTGTGAAGTCTTAGGATCATCTGAAATCAGAGGTCAGGGCACTAATTGGGGTTCTGCCTGTTTTGTGTCCCTGATTGGTGGGACTGCCCGTAAGTCAAAAAAGGTCAGAAATATGAACTAGTTTGCAAAGTCATCAGGCGCAACTTGGAGATTGATGAGGAAGTTGATATTTGAAGAATGTTACCTAGGACTATAAAGAAATTGTTAGCCAAACGTTCTCAAAGTGTTAGTTTGGTGACGTATTCACAGGATTGTAGAAAGTAAGCCTACTTAAATAATATTCATTGTGGAAATTTTAGATTTAAACATTTAAACATCTAACTCTAGGCCTACAACCTAGTGATTGGCCATAATAGGTGCTCAGTAAAAACAAGAATAATAAAAAAAGAATTAATCGAACCTCTGGTTGAGGCATGGTAGTTTAGTGGCAATTGCAGACATTGATTTTTAGAGTCAGAAAGCTTTGTTTCTGAATCATGGGTCAGCTACTTTCTAGGTCTGTGACCTTGGCCAAATTTTAAGCATTCTTATCTTTAGTTTTCTCAGCTAGGGAATGAGAACATTATTATTTGCCTCAATGAATTATTTTGTGGATGAAGTGCAATAACCCTACACAATGCCTTGTATAGAATTTCCAGGGCAAATTGCTAAGTACTTAATAAATTATATGTTCTGTTATTATTTTGTTGTATTAATAATACACATTGTATTATAACAAGTAAATAATGCAATTTACAGTGTCGACAAAAATAATCCATAACCAATCTATAAATGAAAATTTGGGTGAGTTTATTCTGAGCTGAAATCTGAGGACCATGGCCCGGGGCCTTTCTTCCCGAAGGAAGAAAGGGCACCAAGGAAGTGAGGTATACAGAGTGGTTATATACCCCCACACGGGACATTTCACATATGATTGAAATGTCCCACGATAGTCACAAGATTGCCCTGTCAGCACAGCACTTGATGGACACAGCAGGTAGTGGGTCTGCTCTCTCGGTGGGCGGGCGTAGCAGGAGGCAAGTCTATTGTCTTGAGCTGGGTGGTCACAGGTGAGGCAGCAGCAATCAGTTTCTAGCCTAAGGAAAGATGCTTAATCCTTAAAGAAATGCCAACGTTGGGAGGGGGAGGGAAGTTACACCTTTATGTCAAGGGCCTTTGTTCTTGCCATGGGGAATCTCTAAAGCAGATATACAATGCATGCTCAAAGGCCTTGGTCAGGCCCTTTTGGAAAGACAAGGTCAGGTCGAATTAGGTTTACACCAAATGGCTTCCTCATGTACTCCAATATATCCTATTACTTGCCATTTTTATTTGTCAACAGGATAAAACTGAAATCAAACAAAATTCCCTCTCTGTGATAGTTATGTTGCCTATGAAAATAAATCCTCCTAGTTTGAATTATTGTCTGAGTAGGCATAAATTCCTCAGGGATCTTCAATCCTGGCAACAATAAAGAAGGAAAGTAAGGGGGAAAAGAGATTGGAAATTCTGAGGCTATTTTTTAAAAAATTAAGGTTTTAGTTCTTGAGACTCTAGAACTTAATGAAACTTTATTTCTAACTAAGTTTGAATCCAGTCTGGATAAGGATGAATCTTTATGGGCTTATCTTGTGAGCATAGTCTTACAATTCTTTTTGAAGAGTAGTAGGAATTCCAGATGACTTGTATAAGTGCTTTATTATGAACCAGACTAACTAAGGATTTTTCTGAATGCCTGTGAGGAGAAGGGTATTATTTTCAGCACCTTTTACAAATCTGAAATACGAATCTGAAGTACTTTTATTTAGTAATATTTCTTTGTTGTGACACTGATCTATCAGTAAACAGCATTACACTGTGTATGTCTTTTTTTTGTATCAAGAATGAGGTTTTATTCAGAGAGAGGTAGAGTCTTAGCCTCATCTGTAAACTGGGGCTATTAACACTACTGATACTGCTTCTGTCGTAGGGTTGTTGTGGGGGTGCAGTGAGATGATGCATGTACAGGACCTAGAACAATGCTTGACACCTTAAGTACTCAATAAATGTTACACATTTTTATTATTGATGAGCTGATCTTTAATAACATTTTTTCTTCAGAGTGTTTAATTTATGCAAGGTTTACATTTTAAAGTAAAGAAAATATACCCAAGAAATCATAAATTTTGAGTACTAAGTGTGGCTCATTTTGTTCTCTTTTGTTGATTGGCTGCTTCTTATTATTTTTTAAATATAGTTCAACATGGATCGGGTTAATGTTGAAGAGTTTTATGAAGTTTATAAAGGAGTAGTATCTGAGTATAACGTAAGTATCAGATTAAAAGTAAAGCATTGGTACTGAAAACAATTTGTGCTCTCATATCTTAGAGATCTCAGTATAATTTATAATCATGAAAGTATTCCTTAAAGTATTTGTGATTGTTCCAGTTGCCAGCTTATCATACCCAGTGATTGAGGCATTCTTATCCCTGAGAGCCAGTGGATGAGTTTTAAAAATATGAAATTGTTTAATTTATGAAACAAAATATACAGGAATGCGAAAAAGAAAAAAAAGGCTTGCTGACATATTGACACATGTTGATGTTATATATGAAGTTTACAATATTCACAGAGTGGAAGACTGTCCAAAATACTTTCAGAGGATAAAGCAAATCGTTCTTAACATTATCCTATAACTCCATAGCAGTACTTCATAGCTACTTCAATGACACAAGTGCAGATAGATTCATCTGAAAATGTGGCTGAGCCTGAAGAAATAAGACTTAAAGGGATTTGTTCAGAGGGCAATGAAATACGTTCTCGAAAACAAATGACTGCATTCAAACGAGCCAAATCTTGTTCCTTAAAATAACACATAGTAGATATTTAATCAAAGTCAGTTTCCTTGCCATCTTTATCAAGGTATCTTAGATACATTTATGCTGGTGGCCTGCCTCATCACCCATGTTGTTTTATAGAGAGTTTTGGCTTTTCTTTTTGCATAAAGTTCCCTATTCCTGACAATGAGACTGGAGTCCCCTCTCCTCACGTCTCGGTGCCCTTTCCTTCCAATCTACCTTAAAAAAAGAAAAACGCACTTGTTACCGAAGCCACTGTGTGTTCACCTCCTGGCAAGTTAACTCAGACTCTCCACCAGAAGTAGTTGTCTCACAAAGTCAAGTATATTTGCAGCAAATAGGAGACCACACAGAATCATTTCCAAAGTCACGGCTTTCCCTGAACAAAGGGGAGCAGGGACCTTTTATTTCAGATGGGGAATGAATCTTCAAAAGGGAGAGATGGGTATTTGCTTGCACAGGCTCAGCTGGAAAAGATGCTTCCACATATACTGCAGGTTATGGTAATAAGGCCTAAGCTCCTCCTGGAGAGATCTTAGCATTAAAAATAAGGCAAAGGTCATAGGTGTAGCTCTCATGCTGAGGCTTGGTCTGTCTGGGTGGTTGGTGATTGCATCTCCTTAAGATAACAAAAGGAGAAAGGAAATTTGGAAAACAGTTAAATACTTCCAAACCCACCCTTGAGTTCCTCCAGCAATTAGTCAGTGACATATTGGTCCAGGAACTGGCCTGAGCCTTCATTTTATTTAGCTCTACATCTTATTTAGCTCACCAGTAGTGAAATACTCTATTTTGCATTTGGCATGCTGGTAGTGTTCCACCCTTCTTAAGGGGAACCAGAGTGTTTTTCCTTTTGTTATAGCTTATCGAACTTTAATCTTACCAGCTTCTTCACTTTAAAGTTATGCCTTTTCTTTTCTTAAATGGAAGAAGATTTTAAAATGTGTACTTTTCTTAACATCAGTTATTCAACCAGTCACAACATTTTTCCATTTCTTAAATCTTTCTTTTATACATTTTCTTTTATTCAATTTGATTTAAAAAAAATATGGTTAAAAGCAGCCACTTTCATTAATTCACGTTATATTATAATTTTTTTGTATGTAAGATAAACTCATGGAGACATATCCCACAGCAGCCTTGATGTTTAGTCATATGTTCATACACTATCATGTAGTATTGAATTTGATAACAAATAGTAGTTGAGGGCACTAGTGTTTTGTGTGTATATCTGAGTTAGGCCATATTTCCCTTTGGAAAGCAACTTTTTGAAAAAAAACCTCATCTCTAACTTTTAATAAGTCTCCTATTTTGTGCTTTAAAAATACCATACATGTGATTTCTTTTTGTGTAATACTCCTTTACTCTTCTGATTTTTGGATCTTGGGATTCTGGAGGCAAGGATAAAAATCACTGCATAGATGTGTCATTTCCCCTAAGAAATCTTGAATGACAGTAGCAAAATCATTAAATCATTCTTTAATGTCAGCAAATCCTGAGGGTCACTTGCTGTTGTGATTGTGTTTCCTGATGGGCCTCTTCTTCCTCATGATAGTTAATATCCAGGACTTGAGTTTAAGTTCAAAGAAGAGGTAAATTTTTAAATGCTGCATACCACTTAATTGTAGGAGGTTTATCCAACTATGAAGTAGGGCCTGTAAAAATAATCGTAAGAGGCAATATAGTCTAATGGGACAAAAACATGATTCTTACTCTGACTTTTGGTACAAGACTTTACCCACCTTGTCTTCAGATTTTTATTTCTAAAGTAGATGATAAGCTATAAGATCATATTAATGGTTCCATCCATTTTATTATGCTAAATTTAAAGATATGTTGGTGTAAGGGTGTGAAATGATCCTCTTAAATGTAGCATATAGAGTGTGAACTAGTACAGTGTCACTGACATTGTTGTACAGACATTGTTTGGTAACTCAACTCTGGTTCTAGGGTTTCCCACATTACTTGCTTCAAACTGTAGACCTTTCCTTTTTTTTGCTTGTGGAGTGAGATGCTTGGTTTAAATCCCAAATCCACCAGTTTTGTGACCATAGACAAGTTATTTACCTTCTTTGAGCCTTAGTTTACCCATCTATAAAATGAGAAGTAGTAGCATTATTTCAATTTTATAGAATGGAATGCTGCATAGTGGTATGCAGCATTTCATTTTCTTCAAATGAGATAATGTAAAGCAGTCTCACATATTGAGAGTACTCCACAAATATTAGCTATTGTTAGTATTACTATTATTATTATATCTGATATAATTCTCTGTAGTAGATTCCATCTTGATCATTTACACGTATATTTGCTGCCTCAGCATTTGCAATCATGAAAAGGTAATAATTTCTGTCTCATAGTGTAATCATGGTCCAGTTATTTACCACACATACATTGAGTACCGACTATGTGCCAGGCAATGTGTTGGATACAGGGATGTAGAGATGAACAACAAAAAAGCGCACTACCTGCGTTCATGGAGCTTGTGTTCTGGTGAGGATAGACATTAAATCAAATGGTTCCAGTGCAGCTGCCTGAGGAGAGTACTCAGGGGCTGTGGAGGAAACAGATTCTTTTTTTTGATAATTTTTTACTTAATTAAAAACCTAGGTGACTTGAGAATGAACTGATGAGTCCTTTTTTTAAGGAGTATGTTACGCTTTTGATGGAGCCCTTTTTTCAACATGTTTTTTCTTTTCATTTTGTGCAGCCCTTTACGTTTCTATTTTTAATGGTATTTGTTATTAACACTGAAAAAGAGAGAGAAAGAGAGACAAACGAAAGAAAGGAGACAAAACTCAACCCTCTCTTTTTGGATAATGTGTTCAGGTCTTCTACCCCTACTGAGAACTTGCCTCTTGACATTTATGTGTAGGCAGTACAGAAAATCAGCCTCAACATAATTATCCATAAAAAATAAATTACTGATGACCTTTGTGAAATAGCAAACTGACTTCAAGGGAATACATCTAGGGCTTCTAATGAGTAGGGTTCTGTGTACCATATTAATTATGAAGTCCTTTCTCTTCTCTTTTAACTTCTGGCATTTCTAGTGGATGTGATGACTGAGTTGGGATTAATATTTGAATGTTCTGTAATAAACTATCTTTATTTTACTTTGACATTGTGTATCATAAACCCTCCAAAGTCATTCAAATGGCCCTCCGTGATCGTCCACATCTCTTGCTGCTTTCCTACAGTCTCCCTCAGCTCCTAACATCCTGGCTTCTTTACTGGTCTTCATAGACCCCCCACCTATACTTCTGCCTCAAAGTCTTTGTATTTGTTTTCACTTCTGCCTGAAGTTTTCTTCCTCACTTAAGGGGAAGAGAAGTACATTCATTGAGTATTCCAGACACTACGAGGGGCACTTTGCTTTGACCATGGTTTTCGTTATACTACTTCACATGTGGAGTTAGAACCTTAAAATAATCTACTTCCATTTCCCCTCCTATTCCCTATGCTGTTGTTGGCAGACCTTTTACTTCTCTATATGTTATAAACCCTGCAATACACTTTTAATATTTTTGCTGCAAATAATTACCTTTCACAGCAACTAGAAAAGAAAAAATGTATTTTATATTATGCAAATCCGTATTTTTTCCTGGTATTATTTTCCTTCCATCTGAAGAACTTCCTTTAACATTTCCTATGGTATAGGGCTGCTGGTAGTAAATTCTCTCAGATTTTGTTTGTCTGAAAAAGTTATTTTTCCTTCATTTTGAAAAATATCTTCTTACCTGCATATAGGACTCCAGGTTGACAGGTTTTTGTTTTGTTATTTTCATCTTTATCTTTGTTCTACTGTTATATGCCTTTTTGTCTTTTTGCTTTTTTTTTTAAGAGTTTTCTGTTACTGATTTTACTATTTATAACTGAGTTTTTGTTTGTTTTTTAGCCAATTTGATTATAATGTGCCTTACTGTACTTTTCTTTACATTTATCCTCCTTGGATTTGGTTGGATATGTAGGCTTATGGGTTTCATCCATTTTGAAAACTTTTTAGCAATTTATTCTAGAAATATTTTTCTGTTCATCACCCTTTCTTCTCTGCTTCTGGGACTCCAATTACACATATATTAGACAGCTTGAGATTTTCCCACAGGTCATTTGTCTTTTCACTTTCCTTGATTCAAGTTCCTCTCCATGCTTGCTTTTGAATAGTTTCTATTGCATGCCTTCCAATGCGTTGTTCTTCTGCAGCGCCTTCTCTTGTTCACCCCATCCAGTGTACTTGTCAATTCAGATGTAGTTTTCATCTCTAGAAGTTCCATTTGGGTCTTTTTAATATCTTTGATTTTCTCTGTGTCATTCCTATGTTTACCTTCTACAATTAATTCTATAATTATAGAATAATAACTTATAGAATAAATAATTATATAATTACTTTAACTGTAAACTATAATTGATTTTATGAATAGTGTATAATTATATTTATATTATATAGTTATGCTACTTAGATAATTAAATATAAATAATATTTATAAATAACTAGAAAGTTATAAGTAATAACAAATTGTTTTTCATAAATATATTTATAAATAAAAATTCATAACATAAATGACTATAATTGATTTTATAAATATTAAATGTGATTAAAATATTTTATAAATCAATTTTCTCTACATCATGTTTTTTTTAGAAGGAAATAATTCTACAAATAATTATTTATAGAAGGCAGTAAACAGCTATTTAAACAGTCTTATCTAACTATATCATTTCTGTCGTTGCTGGGTCTGTATCTTTTTATTGAGCTTTCTTCTGGTGATGGTTCATATTTTCCTACTTCTCTGCATGCCTGGTAATTTTATTGGATGCTGGATATTGTCAATGTATAGTGTTACATGGTATGTCATATTCCTTTGAAGAGTGACTTTGTCCTGGTGCTCAGTTAAGTAACTTGGGATCAGTAGGGCCGTTTCAAGACTTACCTTTAAGCTTTATAGGATGTCTACAGAGCATCTCATATCTAAGGCTAATTTAGGCCACCTACGATGGTGCAGTCCCCTTCTGAGGACTCCGTCTGATGCCCTGTGTATCATATGAGGGCTTTTCACTCCAGCTCTTAAAAGTGCAAACTTGGGGTGGCCGGGGAAGTACTGCTGTTGGATATCTGGGCTTGACTCTGTCAAACAGCTCTTTGTGCACCTGCCTTTGCTTCGTCAAATGTAAATCAGATAATAAACATGGGTCTCTTCTTAAGTTTAAAAAAAAAAAGATGCAAACTTGTCCCAGCCTTGTGCCCTCTCTGTGAATTGTTTCATGTACTGTTTTCTGGTAGTTCTTTTCTCGGCCTTCAGTAGTTTCCTCTAAACATCCACAGACTCAGCCAAACACCCAAGTGAACTTCTCTGCAGATCCCTGTAGCTACTACTCTCTTATTACTCCTCCTACCCCCTAGTATTCTGTCCTACGGATTCTAGCTACATTGACCTCCCTGAACCCCAACTTTTGTCTCTTTTACTGAGAATTTTGGGCTCTGTTGTGTTTCTTCTCCTGTCCCGCTGTCTGGAAACTGCCCTCAGGCAGTAAGATGGGGCAATCATACAGCTTACCTTATGTTTCCCTTTTCTCGGGGATCGTAGTACCTTGCTGCCTGTCATCCAGGGTCTGAAAACTGTTGTTTCAAATATATTGTCTAGTTTCTAGATGTTTAATAGAATAAATGTGGTCCCTATTTTTCCTCATTGCTGGAACTCATTATGATTTTTAAGTCTCTTTGGGAGGAAGATTTTCGAATGTATATGTTTAGAAATGTTCGTTTGATAGTACTGTGTGCAAGAGGAGAGAGCCCCATGAAAGGAAGATGTGCTAGAAGATCATTTCAAATAGTGGAAATGGCAAATGGCAAAGCATTACATTAAAATGGTGGCAGTGGTAGGAATGGTGATGAGGGAACATATCTAAAATGTATTTTTGCAGGAAAAATAGAATTTGGGAACTGCTTGGCATGCAGGGTAGAAGAGGTGGGGAAGAAGTCAAAGATAACCTTAATATTTTGAGATTAGTAAAATAGTGGTACAATTAAAAGAGGAGGAGTAAAAGATTATTAAGTTCTATTGATTTTTTTTTTTTACTTGTATGTTATACATTATAGGAGATGGTGACAGAAATGTATTCTGGCCCTTGCGTGGCTATAGAGATTCAACAAAATAATCCTACAAAGACATTTCGAGAATTCTGTGGACCTGCTGATCCTGTAAGTTATTGTTTAACGTATTAATGAAGTTTGTTTTATCCATTAACTATCTTAACAGGTTTGATAGTTTTAGTTTGTTCTTTAAAAGGAATAATGCAAAAGTGAATATAATAGACAAAAGTTTTTATTCCAAATAGCATTTTACATAATTTATTTTTTATGTAATATTCAAAGAAAAAGTGAAATTTTTATTTGCCTAGTGACAATATAGAATGGGCAGAAGCATTTACTGTAGCATTTTATTTTATTTTATTGTTTTTTTCATGCTAACTTGTCTGGTTAAGTAAATTTGTCCAGCTCTTTGATAGAAATTATCTAAGGCATTAATTATCCTTGGACATGGGGCGGCTGTAAATGAGGCTTTCAATGTAAAGAATATTGATATTGTGGCCTCATACCAGATACAGAAATAAATACGGGCAGTGAGACTTATGTGAAACTCAATATTCTCTAGTATACCTTTCAATTTGGGTTGGTTTTCAAGTGGACATTTGGTGGTGAGGGGAGCAGAGATGGGCACAGGGTTGAAAGCAGGGGTAGTATTGGGATACATATGGGAAAGCTCCACACAGATGTTTTAAGCAGGGTAGGATTATGGGAACTATTACTGATTTTAAAAATGAACTATAATTCAAATTTACTCTCTTTCATTTATTTCGCTGTCACTTGTAAATAATTTATTGAAGATGAGCAGCCAATTCCATTTAGACAACATTTATTGCGTTCCCTTCGATGTAAGATAGTTAACAGCACCTATTAAGAGATCAGCTTGTATGAGACTGCTGCTAGAGTAAGCGCTGTAGGGGAGAAAAGTACAGCTGTTCTCAATGATGGACGAGAGACAGAAAGAGACACCTGTGAAGACCTTTTACAACACTTGCAGAGCAACACACAAATAAGGACTAAAATATTGTTAGTTAAGGTAAAATACAAATGTTGAAAAGTTGTTTAGTAAAAGGAGCAACTAATATGACCTGAAGGTAATTGAGAAAATTTTGTTAGAGGAAGAGAGATGTACACAGGGATTTTAACGGCAAATCAAGGCACAAAGAGAATAAGAAAGCTTTAAAGTATGTACAAAGGCAACAATGAAGGAATTGCGAATTTGCTCTGGTATACAGCCAGAATATTTGCTTGGCTTCAATGGGAAATGGATACGTGGAAGCATGAGGAAATATATTTTCTTAGAGGAAATAAGGTGGAGAATGCTAATAGAGATGATTATGGGATGCATTGCTTTAAAACTCAGTCTGAAAATAGTGGATTCTGTATAATTAGAATCCCTTATAGTAGGAAATAGAAATTCCTTGCATTTAGCTTAATTTTGAGTATACTGAATTATCCCTTTGATGCAACAAGAGTGAACTAAATTGGAAGAGATTAAAGGCAGGGACTTTCAAAACAGAAAGGAGCAGACCTAATGACAGCAGTTGAGAAAGAGGCAGCAGGACCTACTTTATATGTTTTCAGGGAGAAAGAAGAATAGAAATAAGTACTATATGTTGTAAAAGAGCGATTATTGAAATGTGATTCTGCTATAGAGGACATTAGAAGAAAGTGGTGATCATGTTGAGTGTTTATTGAATATTAATCATAAGAAATTAGGAAGAGATACTTTTAGTCTAGATGAATAAGCAGATCTTGGTGTTGGACATTTTTATATCTGTTTTCTGTTTGATGACCAAGAGGAGTTTTTGTTCATTTGTTTTTTAAGATAATTAAAGTTGTGAGTGATCAACTGGCCAAACAAACAGGGGTGAATTAAAGAGATAAAAACTAGAACAAAAAAAGAATGAGATGAGTTTGTTCATTCTTTTGTTCATTCAATAAATATTTATTGAATCTGTGCTAGTATTTGTGAATGTAAAGACAGAAGCCTCAAAGAGCTTACGGTATATGAGTGGACAAAATATGTAAGTGGCCAGTTTCCACGTTCTGTGGCAATTGTATTGCTAGATGTTTGCACTGGAGACTATGGGAGTCCCAAACTATAGCACTCAGCTCAGCCTGGGGATGGGTGATAGGGTCAGGGGAGACTTCCTAACGAACCTGACATCTAAAGGAATTGTGAGGAATGAGTAGAACTTAGGTAAATGAAGATGGTTGGAAGTGATGCAGTTGAAGTTATAGATGTATAAAAACAGCATCACTTTTGGGCTGCCCCAAGCTCTTTATTTTTACTGTAGCTAAAGTACAAGGCAGTGAATGACAGAAGATGAGGTCATTGGGGAGTTAGCAGGTGAGTAATCATAAAGGATGAGTTCTGATGATAAAAATTTGCTGATTCCCTTTATTCCTAGATATTTAATCAATGAACATTTGTGCAAGGAATAGTATGTACAGGCTTACTGCTTGGTCCCATGGCTGGGCCATAATAAAGATGACTAGAACAAGGTATCTTTCCTTAAGGAGCTCATAATCTTATGAGAGCTTAGTTTGGAAACTCTTTCAAGGTCCTAAGTCTTTCCTCATTAAGCATAGCTGAAATTACCCTGTTTTTTTGTTTTTTTTAATTTTAGTTATTTATGAGCCCCTTATCACATTATAGAAAGTTGTACCCCAGAGATTTTAAAATTTGGTACTAGTTTAACATATAAATTATTAACAGTGGTTGTCTTTGAGTGGTAGAATTATGAATGTTAAGTTCTACTTTCCTATATTTTAAAAATTTTCTTTAAAGTACTTGTATTACTTTTATAATAAGAAAAATACTTTTTATTTTATCATAAAACTTGAAAGTGAATTAACTTTTAAATGAGGAGTTGGGAGTGATGTTGGGCTGTTTCTCCTCTTGAGTCTTAGGTCCTGAATTTCTAAGTACAGGTACAGAATTACAAGCAGAGCCATGTGCCTTTGATGGGTCTTTTCAAATCAGAGGAAATACCGTTAGTAGTTATAGTCAAACTATGCTTTAGAGACTGTAAAATGGCTGTTTCAGTTTGATTTGAGACTCCATTTGGTTCATTTTCTTCTTCTCCCTTCATTTCTCCCTTTTCTGCCACCCCTCCAGCAAATAGGTATTGAATGCTTACTACATGCCTGTCACTGTGGTAAATGCCACTAGGTTTATACTAATGATCAAACAAATACAGTCCTTATCTTTGAGGAATTTATGCTTCAGCTCTGGGAGGTAGAAATGATAGTTAAATATCAATCTCACTTTAAACTGCCAGGTATGCCAATCTATTCAGGTATTGTGTTATATTAAAATAATTTAGAAATTTATTTCTTCACTGCGTGGTCATTCCCATATCTAAACAGAGACCCTGAGTTACAATACATGTAAATATTATTAGTGCTTGGAAGAATGCCTGGCATATAGTGGCCATGTAATTAGTATTTGATGAATTAATGAATTGACTGGCTATACTTGTATGCATACCTAAAATCTGATACTCATTATTTAAAGGTATTTTATCTACCAAAGTGGATCCTTTTTTCTTTATTCTTTTCAAGATGTAGAACTACTTTTTAAGTTGATTCAAAAGAACTTTCAGCCTAACAGTGACCAGAAGACCACTTTGTAACTATGTATGTTGCAGATTGACGTCACTTTCATCGTTGATGTCTGTGTACTGGCGGATTCTTCTTCTCTGTTGTCTTAGAGCTGTAGGGAAACTCTCATTGTGTATGAACAAAATTTCTTCCAGTCTCTCTAGAAGTGCTCTCCAAAGAGGAGTGGTGCACAAGACAGTTCACTGGGAGTAGAGGAGTATTAGACTTTCCAGTTCCATTTTTATTTATTTATTATGTAAAAAGTAAGAAAGAAATTAAGTTGTAATAAAATTTAATGTATGGACTGATAAAAGTACATTTATATAATCTATTAAAAATATATACATATTCTGATGTATATACATATTTTTCTGATAAGGATGCTTGAAAAATGTTGGCTACTGCATAGAATAGAAAAATTATCACAAGTTTCTTTACAATTAGAGGAGCGTTCACTCACCATCACTTGCGTTAAATATGTCCATTTAGGCAGCAAACCTCTTTCAGATTTGCCTCTGGAAGCAGCTTTGATTGCACCTGAAGACTGTAGCTGAAGAATTTCACTGTTGAGTAGCTTGGCAGTTTTCCTGCTGAGCTATTAGGAAACTGAAAAAGTTACCAAAGAAGTGGTAAATTGTCTGGAAAAATTATGCGGAATGTATTTGTTCTTGGACTGGCTGGTATGACAAGCCAAATAACCTGCCATAGATATCCTTTATGGTGTGAAAAATGTGTTTGTGAAATATTTTATGTAAAGGATCTTATTTAAGGTAATCTGATTTTTTTTTTTGTCAAGCAAACATCCACCCTCATCTGCTCCCATACTTTGGGAACCTTTACCCCATCTCCAGATTGAATTGAGTCAAATATTTTCATACACAAAAAGTAGCTCTTCAAATTTTAATGACGTTTTCCATTCATTTGATTGTGAGAGTGGTATTTTACCTATTGTCTAGTAGGCTTTACTGATTTTAGGACTAAAGTAGAAGTACTGTGGTATTTTGAAATGCAAGTCTTTTTTCACAATTGTGTAGGACATTGTTGTAAACTTGGAGAAGAGATGCTTGGGAGCTGCTATCTGTTGCTTCTGTCATCTGTTGACTTCCTGGTCACGTTCCTTCATTCACTGAAACCCTGATAATAGTCCTTCTCTTCGTGCCACTTCTTACCATCAACTTGGGCAAAAGAACATCCATATGAAAGATCCACCCAACACTTGGCCTCAGAGCTCAATAGACTCCTTCCGTCAATTATCTTTAATCATTCTACTTTTCAGCTTTCTTCCACAGCCATCCTCTATATTTTGTTGATATCGAGAGCAGAGATACATCTGCAAACTTAATCTCTAATATAGTAATGTCTGTCATAGCTTTGTGGTCCCCTGGGCTCTTGATCCTCCTCACAGTGCATCTTTAACTTGAGTGAAACCTCCAGGTTTTGGACCCTTCCATTTTCTGACGCTACTGCCACTTTTTGACTTCCTTCTCTTTGAACCATTGTTCGTC